AATCATTTGTAATTGTATATACATTGTTGTGATTAATTGTGGCTGGAACAATAGTGTAGCTGTAAAAATAGTTGTCTGCTGAAATTGAAATATATATACATCTTCATCATGACTAGATAGAGACCGAAGGCAGTGACATCAACTTTTTACGGAAGTCACAACGGTTCCTGAAAAATAGCTAGAACTTTAAGCAAGCTGTGTGCATTTTACTGTGGACTTATATGGTAGTTAAATAGCCCCTAGACCTCAGTAATCGTGAAAAAAGCCAGGAAATTTCAGTTTTGACAATATGGGACCTTTAAGGTGACTCTTTTTTAGGATATATGTCATTGCCACTATGGCCCAAAGATATATGAGTATTTTGGGTATATTTACTATTAATAAATGTATCACAAGTCACCAGTTTTTAGTGCATAAGATCACAGCAATTAACAAATGACAACAATCCAGACAAATCCCATTGGACAAAACCACCTTACTTTTTTCCCCTTCTCTCTCATTCAGGAAGCCTTTTCACTGAGATATTTACAGAATGAAAGAAAATCGACTTTAAATGGTTAGGCCAAAGGCAAAAACCCTATACAATGTTCCTGGGTCTGCGATTTTGAATTTCATAAAAAAAAAAAAAAAAAGTACTAGTTGTACTATTTCTGCCTTTTAAGTATAAAATTGTGGCAGAAACAGTAAAAGCAGTGCATAATGATATTTAGCTTAAGTTAGTGTCAGTTTAGAATACTAATTCAAATGTGTTCATTTTAAAAATACATACAATTATTTTTTTTAAAAAGTAAAGATTCTGAAAGCATTGAAGGAGAAACCATAATAAGTTTATATAGTTTTACAGTTGTAACAATAAGTAGCCTATGATATTTTATTATATGATATTATTAATAAACATGATGGTTTCATTATAAATATGGTGATTATCTCTAAAGTGGACACCCAGCTTAATATATGATATTTCCCATCTGAATCTAACCATGGCATGCCATGTCTAATGGAAAAGTCGGCCAGCTATTTATTGTCATGTTTCAAATTTTGTGCCATCTAGTGGTTATAAAGACAAATGCGCCTTTAACCTCGTTGTATCCTACTGTCTCTTAAATTAATAGTCATTGATTAGACTATATTCATTTAGACTTTATTATTAAGCGAAGCAGTCTTTGCTGAAATATCCACAACATTATCAAAAAAGAAGATAGCACGGTTTATCTGTCGAGTTGCGCGTGAATTTTGTTTCAAAAACAAACAGTAATTTGTGTAATAAAAGCAACTTTTGTTATGTCGAAATCACGGTAGAATTAAGTCGTGATAACGATAAAACAACTTTTATGCCGAAATCACGAAAAATTACGTTAAGTAGGCCTAGTAATAACGCTAAAACAACTTATGTCGAAGTCACAAGCCTAGAAATCCACACAACTCAATTTTTTATGTGAATTCAGAATTACATTTACACTGATACAGTAATACATATACCTACATGTAATCTCTCCTCCGCCCAGTTACCAATGAGTACTTTGTTGGTGCTGTATTTACCAGGCTGACTCATCCTTAAAGCAGCAGAGCAGTTGAAGCAGGTGATCGTCTAGAGTTCTGTTGCCATGGACACACCAAACACGAGGGGCCAATTCCAAACAGAAGTGAGCATCCCTATGCCTTGTTGCAAATAAATAATAATAATTTTAATATAATAATAATAATTATTATTATTATTATTGTTATTCAAATGTTGTCTAATTGTTGTCTAAATGCTGGTGAAGTGGCTCTCGGAGGAGCTCTAGAGATGAAGTTCTGAAGTCCTCACAGTGAGACGGTAGACTACCTTCATCCGTACTTAAGTATGTGTAGTAGTCGAAACTGCGGAGTGCATTCACAAAAGACACTGCAGAACATGCAGATGTCAGATTTAAACAGGCAGCCTCTACCGTCCAGTACGTTCTCACCATGATGAATGGCATGTATTAAAGGGGTCCTATTATGCTTTTTTTACTTTTTCAACTTTAGTTAGTCTGTAATGTTGCTGTTTGAGCATAAAAAAGATCTGCGAAGTTACAAAGCTCAAAGTCCAATTCAAAAGGAGATATTTTATTTAACAGAAATCACTTTTCTAAAACTACAACGAACGACTCGTTTGGACTACAACGCATATTTTCCGGGATTTGTGATATCACAAATATCACAGCCTAAGGCTGAGGGATAATGTACAGTCAGCAGATTATTTTGCGAAAGAAACCTCTGCAGGATGATAAAGACTACACTGCGTAATTTTCCCGCTTATCATTGCCTGATACGTAAATAATTGAACGCAAAATATTAATTTGACATTTTTACCTCAATATGACTCGCATCAGTTGTAGCAGTTGTGGTTGTATCAATAACAGACCACTAGATGGCGCGATCGAAGAATCAGAGTTGTATTGCAGGGAGACATGTCGAAATATAAATGAATGATGCATGGTTCTGCTCTAAGCATGTATGTTACAAGTTTGTGAAAATACTGCCAGTGCCAGGTAAACGTAAAGCAGATTATGAATATACTTAAGATAAACCAATACCAAAACAACATGTCTACACCAGACGCGAGCGGCTCGACAAAAGCAAACAGAACCCAGTGATGTTCTCAATGGATGCGGCGCGACGCGACACGACAAATCCATGACAGTGATGCCCCGTTCTATTTATGACGAGCTCCAGCGTTCTGACACAAAGGAAAGGACAACTGGATTTGCAATGTTCACTTTGTCGCGTCCAGTGTGGTGAAAAGACAAGAAAATATATAGGCATATCTCGCCCTCAGATTCACCAGTACAAAGGTGGGTAATGAAGCCGAACAAGTTAAGACGGCAAGTAGGCTAGTTAAATAGTACTATGTTAATCACAATATTTCAAATCATATATATATAATTTTGCAATCAAGGTCATGTCTGAGAGGGTGCATGTATATTCATAAGAAAATCATGAAAAAAAAAGTTTCCTCAAAAAAATGAAGCTGTTTTCAGCATTAAAATAATCAGAAATGTTACTGAGGAGCAAATCAGCATATTTGAATAATTTCTGAAGGATCATGTGACACTGAAGACTGGAGTAATGATGCATTTTTAATTTCATAAAAAAAAAAAAAAAAAGTACTAGTTGTACTATTTCTGCCTTTTAAGTATAAAATTGTGGCAGAAACAGTAAAAGCAGTGCATAATGATATTTAGCTTAAGTTAGTGTCAGTTTAGAATACTAATTCAAATGTGTTCATTTTAAAAATACATACAATTATTTTTTTTAAAAAGTAAAGATTCTGAAAGCATTGAAGGAGAAACCATAATAAGTTTATATAGTTTTACAGTTGTAACAATAAGTAGCCTATGATATTTTATTATATGATATTATTAATAAACATGATGGTTTCATTATAAATATGGTGATTATCTCTAAAGTGGACACCCAGCTTAATATATGATATTTCCCATCTGAATCTAACCATGGCATGCCATGTCTAATGGAAAAGTCGGCCAGCTATTTATTGTCATGTTTCAAATTTTGTGCCATCTAGTGGTTATAAAGACAAATGCGCCTTTAACCTCGTTGTATCCTACTGTCTCTTAAATTAATAGTCATTGATTAGACTATATTCATTTAGACTTTATTATTAAGCGAAGCAGTCTTTGCTGAAATATCCACAACATTATCAAAAAAGAAGATAGCACGGTTTATCTGTCGAGTTGCGCGTGAATTTTGTTTCAAAAACAAACAGTAATTTGTGTAATAAAAGCAACTTTTGTTATGTCGAAATCACGGTAGAATTAAGTCGTGATAACGATAAAACAACTTTTATGCCGAAATCACGAAAAATTACGTTAAGTAGGCCTAGTAATAACGCTAAAACAACTTATGTCGAAGTCACAAGCCTAGAAATCCACACAACTCAATTTTTTATGTGAATTCAGAATTACATTTACACTGATACAGTAATACATATACCTACATGTAATCTCTCCTCCGCCCAGTTACCAATGAGTACTTTGTTGGTGCTGTATTTACCAGGCTGACTCATCCTTAAAGCAGCAGAGCAGTTGAAGCAGGTGATCGTCTAGAGTTCTGTTGCCATGGACACACCAAACACGAGGGGCCAATTCCAAACAGAAGTGAGCATCCCTATGCCTTGTTGCAAATAAATAATAATAATTTTAATATAATAATAATAATTATTATTATTATTATTGTTATTCAAATGTTGTCTAATTGTTGTCTAAATGCTGGTGAAGTGGCTCTCGGAGGAGCTCTAGAGATGAAGTTCTGAAGTCCTCACAGTGAGACGGTAGACTACCTTCATCCGTACTTAAGTATGTGTAGTAGTCGAAACTGCGGAGTGCATTCACAAAAGACACTGCAGAACATGCAGATGTCAGATTTAAACAGGCAGCCTCTACCGTCCAGTACGTTCTCACCATGATGAATGGCATGTATTAAAGGGGTCCTATTATGCTTTTTTTACTTTTTCAACTTTAGTTAGTCTGTAATGTTGCTGTTTGAGCATAAAAAAGATCTGCGAAGTTACAAAGCTCAAAGTCCAATTCAAAAGGAGATATTTTATTTAACAGAAATCACTTTTCTAAAACTACAACGAACGACTCGTTTGGACTACAACGCATATTTTCCGGGATTTGTGATATCACAAATATCACAGCCTAAGGCTGAGGGATAATGTACAGTCAGCAGATTATTTTGCGAAAGAAACCTCTGCAGGATGATAAAGACTACACTGCGTAATTTTCCCGCTTATCATTGCCTGATACGTAAATAATTGAACGCAAAATATTAATTTGACATTTTTACCTCAATATGACTCGCATCAGTTGTAGCAGTTGTGGTTGTATCAATAACAGACCACTAGATGGCGCGATCGAAGAATCAGAGTTGTATTGCAGGGAGACATGTCGAAATATAAATGAATGATGCATGGTTCTGCTCTAAGCATGTATGTTACAAGTTTGTGAAAATACTGCCAGTGCCAGGTAAACGTAAAGCAGATTATGAATATACTTAAGATAAACCAATACCAAAACAACATGTCTACACCAGACGCGAGCGGCTCGACAAAAGCAAACAGAACCCAGTGATGTTCTCAATGGATGCGGCGCGACGCGACACGACAAATCCATGACAGTGATGCCCCGTTCTATTTATGACGAGCTCCAGCGTTCTGACACAAAGGAAAGGACAACTGGATTTGCAATGTTCACTTTGTCGCGTCCAGTGTGGTGAAAAGACAAGAAAATATCTCGCCCTCAGATTCGCGCCCACAGATTGAAGTCCTCACAGTGAGACGGTAGACTACCTTCATCCGTACTTAAGTATGTGTAGTAGTCGAAACTGCGGAGTGCATTCACAAAAGACACTGCAGAACATGCAGATGTCAGATTTAAACAGGCAGCCTCTACCGTCCAGTACGTTCTCACCATGATGAATGGCATGTATTAAAGGGGTCCTATTATGCTTTTTTTACTTTTTCAACTTTAGTTAGTCTGTAATGTTGCTGTTTGAGCATAAAAAAGATCTGCGAAGTTACAAAGCTCAAAGTCCAATTCAAAAGGAGATATTTTATTTAACAGAAATCACTTTTCTAAAACTACAACGAACGACTCGTTTGGACTACAACGCATATTTTCCGGGATTTGTGATATCACAAATATCACAGCCTAAGGCTGAGGGATAATGTACAGTCAGCAGATTATTTTGCGAAAGAAACCTCTGCAGGATGATAAAGACTACACTGCGTAATTTTCCCGCTTATCATTGCCTGATACGTAAATAATTGAACGCAAAATATTAATTTGACATTTTTACCTCAATATGACTCGCATCAGTTGTAGCAGTTGTGGTTGTATCAATAACAGACCACTAGATGGCGCGATCGAAGAATCAGAGTTGTATTGCAGGGAGACATGTCGAAATATAAATGAATGATGCATGGTTCTGCTCTAAGCATGTATGTTACAAGTTTGTGAAAATACTGCCAGTGCCAGGTAAACGTAAAGCAGATTATGAATATACTTAAGATAAACCAATACCAAAACAACATGTCTACACCAGACGCGAGCGGCTCGACAAAAGCAAACAGAACCCAGTGATGTTCTCAATGGATGCGGCGCGACGCGACACGACAAATCCATGACAGTGATGCCCCGTTCTATTTATGACGAGCTCCAGCGTTCTGACACAAAGGAAAGGACAACTGGATTTGCAATGTTCACTTTGTCGCGTCCAGTGTGGTGAAAAGACAAGAAAATATATAGGCATATCTCGCCCTCAGATTCACCAGTACAAAGGTGGGTAATGAAGCCGAACAAGTTAAGACGGCAAGTAGGCTAGTTAAATAGTACTATGTTAATCACAATATTTCAAATCATATATATATAATTTTGCAATCAAGGTCATGTCTGAGAGGGTGCATGTATATTCATAAGAAAATCATGAAAAAAAAAGTTTCCTCAAAAAAATGAAGCTGTTTTCAGCATTAAAATAATCAGAAATGTTACTGAGGAGCAAATCAGCATATTTGAATAATTTCTGAAGGATCATGTGACACTGAAGACTGGAGTAATGATGCTGAAAATTCAGCTTTGATCACAGGAATACAGTATATGTTCAAACATTCAAATAGATATTTTAAATTGACACATTTCACAGCGAGTACGTTTACATGGACAACAATAATCCGATTTTAACACGATTAAGACAATACTCTGATTAAGAATCTACCATGTAAACAGAGATTTTTGATTACCTTAATCCGGCTAAAGTCATATTCAAAGTAAACAGAAATCAAATTAAGACATTGTGGGGTATTCCTGTTTTAGTCGCATTACTGAAGTGCAGTATAGACATGTAAACACCTTAATCACATTATTACCGTCATGTAGGACTTTTCGCCGCATTTTGATCAACATCGCCATCGTCTGTATGCATGTACAAATAATTAACTGCACTTGAAGCTTTCCTAAAATTAAAAATGAAACACCCAAAACTTTGTGATGGCATCATCACGAAGACAAACTATATGTTTATACGTGAAATTCCGGAGGGGACGTTGGATGGC